AAAAAAAAAATGCACATGTTCAACCCTGTACCTGCTCCGTAGTGGGAAAGACAAACGCGTGCAAGAATATGCGGGGAGCCCATTTCTCCTTGTGCACACTTTGTTTAAAAGTTGCTGTTTGCATCCCTCATACAAGCTTATTTTCCAAAAGTAGATTTGCAATTTTTCCACTTGTCAGACTCACCACTGGTAAGTGAAAATGGGGACGAGCACGTAGGACGGGCTTATGTAAACATATCACCAGAATGACTGGCAATTAGGAAGACCACTTATTATGATGATCCATGCGGAAAAAGAACATCCTCCACTATACCTTTAATATTAAGGTTGTAGCTTTTCGCCTTCTCTGTGCTCACCTTGTCCAAAATGTACTTGTTGAGGTACGGCATGTATCCCTCAGTAGAAAGAGGTCCTTTATCATCTTCCTTGAAATGTTCCTCAAAGCTCACTGGGTCATGGGGGATCTTCATTACTGTGCACAGGTTGTAGGACAGCACCTAAACAACCACAACAAATTAATCAAAGAAGAAAAACAGCACGGCTGTGAATGTGGATGCATTTACTGACTTAAAACTCAGACTCTGCTGATATGATGTTATGAAAGATGGCAAAGTTTCATAATGATTTACTCTGTTACATCTATCAAAAGTCTGTTACTTCTCCAGCATCACCAGCCAAGCGAACTTCCGTTCATGACCAAGACATCTCTAACATTTTATGCTTTGCCTCATTGCTCTCAGCTGCATTATTTCTAAATGTCACCAGTTTCATTTCAGCTCTGCTGCTCTAAAGCTCCGACAACAGTTTTGTCTGGCAAGCTGTCACAGAAATGAACAGCTTATCTTTAAACCCTTCTGTCTTCTTTTAGAGTCGGACCATCGGGTTTGTTTTAGGGGAGTGTGCCTTGCAATGATACAAAGGCAACGACAGCTTCCTCCCATAAAACAACAATGTAAGGTCCCTAACAGCTGCAGCGGAAAACACCGACTGCCCCTGGGGGATTGAGGCTCAATTTAAGGTGGAATATTCAGATGGTAGGGTCCCAATTTAGAGTTACACATTATAAAATCCTAGAATCACCTCGCATTTTATTAACTACTGTGACTGTATACTTTGGAACTCTTTACGTCAGCTATGCATCCATTAAACAGCACAGTCAACCAGAGTAATGCAGACCGTGCCCATCCCTTTAAACCACCATGTACCCATCATCTGAAGGCCAGGCACGGAGCTAGATGGGGGGCCAGGGGTGGCCATGGCCACCCTAAGCCAATCATTGGCCACCCCTGTGGCCACCCCTACAATTTTCCCCCTCTAATACAGACAGTGGCAACAGTAGTACTCTCAAATGGAATATTCAAACCATTTTAATGTTTCATTTATTAACATTTACTTGAAAACAAAGACACTGTGGTTAATTATGCATATAAATATACTAAAATTAAAAATAAGTATATAATTCATGCTCTTTTCAGAACTAGATTTTGTGTTATATGGGGTAAAGAGAAAATTATGTCTCTGCAAGTCATCTAGGAGTCTTCAGTAAAATCATAGATAATTATTTTAAAAAAAACATATTAAATAATAAATTTATGTAGATATTTTTACTTGTGAATATCATTTTTTTTTTGCAGAATAATTATTGATAAAAATAAGTATTGACAATGGAAAAGATGTTTGCCCCAGAACTTGAACCTGAAAGAATTGTATTCACTCTATATGCGTCTACTTGTTAGCAAAGGCTGTAGGAAAGGATAGGTTGTCTTTGTTTAGAAAATATGGATTTTGTGCTTGTTCATTTTCCTGTTGGAACAGTGTAGCTTACCCTGAGGTTCTGGTGCCTATTCACTTTCGGCCACCCCTCAGCGTACATTGGCTATTGCCGGGCCACCCTTGTAAAAAGTTTCTGGCTACGCCTGCTCTAAAGGGGGTCTTTCTTCTAAAGGTTAACCATTCAGTCATCTAGATCTATTTCAAAGATCACAGTGAAGTATTATGATTGTTTAATGATGTTAAAAAGAGGAGAGGTCATCAAATGAAAACTTATATTATTATTCCTCCTGCAAAAAAAAAAATTAAAAATACAACTAAAAATTAAAAAACAATGATAAATAAATATATATCCACCCATCCATTATCTAACACGCCTGTCCCTATTGGGGTCACGAGGGGTGCTGGTGCCCATCTCCAGCTGTCTTTGGGCGAGAGGTGGGGTACACCCTGGACAGGTCGCCAGTCCATCACAGGACATACAAGCATTCACCCACACGCTCACACCTAAGGAGAATCTAGAGAAGCCAATTAACCTAACAGTCATGTTTTTGGGCTGTGGGAGGAAGCCGGAGTACCCAGAGAGAACCTATGCATGCTCAGGGAGAACATGCAAACTCCAGGCAGAAAGACCCCGGGCCACGAATCGAACCCAGAACCTTCTTGCTATAATGCTATAATATAGCATTATAATATCATAAAATTATACAATAATAATTTTTTTTAAATCAAGATTTTTTTTTTTTTTCATGTGCATCCAGTACACATTGAACGGTCTTAAATAAAGATAGATTTCATCATTACGCTTTATTTAAGCAAGGACATGCTAAGATAACACATATATTAAAATCTTTAACAATAATATTGATTACTAACATTTGAAACTCACAATATGTGAGGCACAAAAAACATTTACATTTCATGATCTAGTCTGCATAAAACACATAAGACTATCTAAATATTTTACTTCTCACAATTTTACGAATAAACAGAAAGCAGACGAAAAGATGAAGATAAGTATAAGTGAATCATTAAGAAATAATATCGGAAGCATTCTCACTATTGTTTACTGTAATACACCAATTAGCTATGATCAAACTGTAAAAACATCTGCACAGCAACCTACTGTTATAAAATGATATAAAAGGCTTATAATCTATGTTTTTCAAATTGTAGAAAGGTTGATAGTAGTTGTTTTTTTAACACAACTGCTACAGAGTGTGGGGTAGAATTATAGGAAACAAAGTCATTTACTAAACTCAGTTTTTGAGGTGTGAATAGGGATTAAATGCAACTTTTTTATTATTATTATTATTGCAAAAAAAGAACAAACATGAACACTATAGACCATTATTAATTAAAAACATATACAACAACAAAGGGCTTTACAGAACAGAACTATTATTTTAAAATGTCAAAATCTGATCTATGATCAAGGGTTATATTTCTTTAGGGCTGCTATAATTTGCATGGCTTTAGTATTTGAACTGAATTTAAAGGATTTTATATAGATATTGATAGAATTGATAGATAATAAAATCTGAAATTGGGTTTTTGTTGTAAATATTTGGAGGTGTGAATATGTTATTTACCATAAATAACAAAAACATTAATAACGTATAAAAAATTCTGTTTTGAGAAGTTGATATTTTTCCATCCCAAACCAAACATCCTTATCTGTTAAAGTAATTTTAAGACTTTTTTGATGAAAAAAAATTGACATAACTCTCCACATATTTTGGTATAATTACAATTCCACAAAAGATCAATAAGCTTTTCTTCATTATTTTTACAAAAAGAACACATTTATCAAAAATGCTTTAACAGGATAAACATTATGAATACTTTTATAAAAAACTTCTCTTACTTTATTAGTTATTAAGTATTTTTAAGGAGCAACCAAGTTCACTTCCATTTTATATTTTCAACAGTGTTGGACCAATAAAATATACAAGCTGGTGAAAAAACAACATCTCGAAATAGAATATTTCTTAAACTTTTGTTGCTTGTTTTCTTACTTCAATCATAATCGATATAAATGGAGTTTGGATCAAAACTTTGCACTGAGTAAATTTGACGTGTTGGTAAAGATGATCAAAGCTGTTAAACGCACCTTTAACTGAGATTTGGAGACTTTCCCTCGATGATCCACATCCAGGGCTGTGAATGCATGCCAGATGGCTTTCAGAAGCTCCTCTCGAAGCCACATTTTGTCAACAAGCGACACCGCAGCTGTGTTCTGTCTTTATCCTGGTACCGTTTAGGTCTCTGGGCTCTTTAAGAGCCTAAATGACAGGGGGCCCCTGGGAGGACCGCAATAGACTCCCCACGTGACGCCCTTGTTCGGGTTCTTTTCTCCAAATATTTAAATGTTGGTTGAGATTTCCGGATTTTAATCTGCCCCTGTGTGAATTAACAAAACAGTCCTTAAAATGTGCCCAAAAGTAAGAGATAAAAATAAAAAAAATCCAACATTTCCGCATTACATTTAATATTTTGAGGAAATCTTCCCTTCCTGTTGTTCACTGAGCTTCCCTAATTTAATAATAATCGGCGCCACCTGCTGCTGTGTTGTTATCCACGGAAGTGGATTAGGGACACTGAAAAAAAAAAAAGTTAACTGATTTTTAAATATTTTTTCAGTCAGTGAAAAAGTCAAAATTCTGACTTAAATCTCAGGATTCTGGCTTTAATCTCAGGATTCTGACTTTAAGCTCATGATTCTGACTTTTACCTCAGGATTCTGACTTTAAGCTCATGATTCTGACTTTTATCTCAGGATTCTGACTTTAGCTCAGTATTCTGCCTTTTTCTTAGAATTCTGAATGAATTCTGACAACTAACAAACATAGCAACAAACCATAGCCATATCTGTTTTAGAATTCTGAGGTTTTTTTTCCATATTATACTGAAATAAAAATTTAAATATCAGTTAACTTTTTCGTTTTTTCAGTACTCTTCCGTACGTATCTCTTTAAACTCAGAGACAGTTTTATCATCTTGCATAAAATTTATTTTGCTCCAGGGGTTCAAAATAAACAGAAGGTTAGGGGTTCGGGTTACTGTTTTCTACCTGAGTTATATTCATAAACAACCCAAAAATATATGCAAATGAAACAGTGGTGGTTCTAGACCAAATGTACCAGGGGGCCAGGAGGGGGCCAGTTTTCACGGGGGCACAGAAAAACATGAAATAAAAAAACAGGGAAAGGGATTCATATATATTAAGATGCCTACATGAAGTGAAATTTCTATTTAATTAGGTTTAATTAAAATGATGTCTTATTAGGTGAATAAACCTTCATAATCTAGGAATTTTACATATTTTTGACTTAATTTAAGCTAAAATTACCGGTATCTATGGAATCTGAATTAGAACTAAATAAAGATAGATAAATTCATCTGTAATAAAGTATTTGTTTTTATTTGTTTTGACCAAAAAAAAAACACTTAGCAGATGAAAACTGGGATCCTATCTCAATACAATTATCACCTTATTGTACAGTACAGGGGCCAAAACAAGGGCCAGGACATGATCCACAGGGGCACTGGCCCCCGTTGGCCCCTGTCTAGAACCACTCATGAAATGAAACAATAGATGCTGCAAAGTTCCGGGACTGTTTTGTTGATAGAAATTAAAGAAAAATCCTCAGAACAGCAACAAATCCAAACCAAAATTCAGCCTCCTATGCGGTGCATTTTGTAAAGTCAAGGAAAGAAAAATTAAGAGCAATATTTATGGTTATTTAGCGTGTTTTAAGAGAAAAATAAGGGGATTATTTTATTTCCAAAAATTTTTTTTCACAATGTCATTCATTCATTAACTTAGAAAAATCTTACTTTGTTAAATAAATATTAAGTTTGGACCTAAATATTTATTTAACAAATAAGATTTTTAATTTGCAAACAAATATTTATTTTGGAGCTAAATATCTATTTAAAGGTATAATGGAGAATTTTCGTACATTTTTGACAACACCTGCCCTCTCCACTTAAAAAGAAAAAAAAATGCACATGCACAACCCTCTACCTAAATTATGAGAATAACGTCATAACATTATTAGAATAAATTCGTAAAAAAAAAAAATTAGAATATTGTCATAAAATTACTTGAATAAAGTTGCAACGAGAACAGTCATAAAATTATGAGAATAAAGTTATAAAATTGCAAGAATTAAGTATAAAATATGAAAAAAAAAGTCCTAATATGACAAGTAAACACCTTTGTTTATAGATGTTGGAGATCTGCCTGTTTTTCAGTGTAGTCCTGTTTCTCTGACTGTGACTGGCTGGATGTGCTCTCTTCATCCTCCATCATTGGAGCTGGCTCGGAGCTCATCTGCTTGGCTGTGGGTTTGTGGACGGGTCCGCCTTTTACAGCTGCCTTTTGTATCTCTGCTTCTTTCTCTTTGAACCCCAATCAGGTACGGCAGATGGCCACTTACACTGAGCATGGTTCTTCTGGAGGATTGCATTCGAGTCAATAAGTCGACGCAATCAACTGGTTTTCCTTAAGATAGAAAACTTTGAATCAATTTGACTGTATGATGATCTGGTGAACTCTAATGTGTTGTGAATTGGCGCTATAGAAATAAACTGAATTGAAATTAAACACATCACCAGAATGATTGACAATTAGGAGGACCACTTACTTTGATGATCCTCCACTAAACCTTTAACAAACTAAATATTTAGCTCCAAACTAAATGTTAATTTAACAAAGTAAGATTTTTCTAAATGAATGAATGAAAGATTACTTGGAAAAAACAACCCCCTTATTTTTCGCCTAAAACACACTAAATAACCATAAATATTTCTCCTAATTTTTCACTGCTTAACTTTACAAACTGCACCCCATAGCCTCCTCCATGCTTAAGCTTTGACAGTTTAAAACTAAATTTAACACACAACTTGGCATCAACTACTTTACAAGAATGACCTGAGGCGGGGGGTCAGATCTTGGCTTCACCTTATCTGCTGTTGCTTGGCTGATTCTGGTTCTCAGTGAATCAGTCAACTTTAACCTCTGCTCAGCTGCAGCTGCAGAGATAAACCCCCATCATGACACCGATCACCTCGTCTATGTGTCCCAGGGTGATCTGGATTCAAAGTTATGCTGGTTTTTTGGTTTCTTTTGCAGCTGATTGTATTTAATTACATCTAGGTTATATAGTTCTACTCTTTAAGAATTGTTATTCTCAATATTTATCTCCAGAGGTTTAAAAGGGATTCACATTCTTTACCAAAGTAAAAGTAGATACCTGTGTAAAACAATACAAATCTTTTAAAAAGTACTGATTGATCTCCTTTACTCAACGTAAAAATAAAAATACAGGCTCTTCTTTGCTCTTTGGTACATAAGTAAAATTAAGCTATTTTCTTAAATGGTATTTTTTACTTTTTTCTTAAAATCAGGTTTGAATCTTGCTCCTTTGCTCGCTGTTTTGGAAGAGAGAACATAAAAAATACTGACTTAGTCTAGTTTGTTTTGAATGAAAGCTTGAGACAGCATATCCATTGAAATGAGCAGAAATCCTGTATGAGTGGCTGAATACTTTGAGCTACTATTCACAGAACTAAAACTGCAAACTGCATAAAACAAATATAACTTAAAACATTTTAAAACTGTCGATTTAAATTCTAAGGGAGGAATGGATGAGGATTGTGGAATCTGATGCACCATGTATAATCTTTTCCCGTTTCCCTATAAACAAGCAGGGCTCCTACTGGACAGATTATGCATTTTCCCTTGGTTTTATTGCAGCTTATATCTGTTGAATAAAAGTAACAAGATTTTATTTTTTAAAGTACCGGTAGTAAAAAGTATAGATATTTGTATATAATATACAAGAAAAAATGGTACCTAGCTGCTTATCATCACTTGTGTATAACCAGTAGGTATGTGGCTGTAATCCTCAGGCACTGATCATAGAGGTTTGTGTGCGTTTTAAATTAAGACAATTCTTTTAATCACCTAAGACAGAAAACTTAAATTGCCATTTTCTACTGTTTTAATGGCTACAAGCCAGAAGCTTCATAATTTGCTTAAAGCTTTAGTTATCAACGTTTGCTTTTTATGCCAGATAAGAAAAAACAAACTTGTGTAAGCAACTTTAAAGGAAAAAATTCATTTACAGATTCAAATTTCTCTAAAGATGGAAAATAAATCCTATATTCTAAAACACATTCAGTATGCAGGACTTTAAAACTCCTTAAGAAAAATGAAAAAGGCTCGTTTCCCTTAGCTTCTTTTAATATGTTGTATATATAGATGGTTCATCCATACACCAACCAAAAGCTTGCGACCTTCACGAAAAGTTGAACTGTACATGCTTCAACGATGTATCCAACGCCACTTCCAGTGCTCACAAACACTTGTCCCGTAGCCTTATTGAACACCAAAGCATCCTTACTGAAACTCATGTCTGCAACTGATTCACTAACCAGATGCATTATTAATTAGCTGTTAACACCTGCAAAGTAACAATGTTACAGCCTGTTTCCCCCATTTTAAATAGTTTTGAATTAAAAAAACAAAAAAAAAAACATTTGCAGTCTGATACAGAAGGCTAGAAGACCTGAACAATATGAAAGTGCTAGTCATTAATTTACAGAGATCAGGTATCACATAGTGCTATGAATTATCCAATATGCTACATATGAATACAGCTGTGGATACCTTACAAAAGCCTCTAGTCGTTTTTCCCCCCAAGGATACTTGAAAAACCAATAACCTTGGCTTGTATATACATAAACATGTTTGTTTATGCAGATTCAATCACTACCAGAGGTGTGATCTTATGTTCACAACAGTGATAATGAAATATTTAGTCCCATTATCAATTCTATCAGGTAACCCCCCATTTATTATTTTTTTTGTTTCAGCGGGAAGAAAATAGGAAGTTGCTGTCTCAGGGCTCCAGGGGACAACATTGTTTAGAGCTTCTCTTGGGTCTTGATCAAGTTCATGGTTTGGTTTCCTGAGCCATCCGTTGTGTTGTAGTTATTCCCCCCCTCCCCATATCTTTTGGTGCCTTCTTTTCCCCTCTTTTGACAGATTGAAGAATGACTCAGAAGAACCAGGTCTGGAACTACTATTTAAGGGAACAACACAAGCTTTTTTTTTCTCACTTCACTACAATCAGTCACAGAGTAATAAAAAAAAAAAAAAAAAAAAATTAGAATAGATGATTCAATTCATTCCTGGAGCAGAGCCCCCGAAGTTGAAAGTAGATGGCACCACCGGCGCTGTGAACTTGTACCCGCCGTGTTTCTCGATCATTTTGGACTCTGCAACAAGACGGAAAGTGACAGTGGTTTGAAATAAAATAAAAACACTTAAAATGACAGGAAAATTAAAGGTGAGACTAAATGCCAGATAAGAAACATGCACTACTGCTCTCTGAAAGCACCTTTCAGCTCGAAATGTATTTTGCATCATATTTAAAGACAGCATGAAAAGCGTGTTAAAACAGGAAGCATTGAGGGAAAAATTCTTAAAATGTACATGCTTTAAAAAATAACAAATTCCAACAATAAAAAAATTGTATGTTTCATACTCCTTAACTTTTCCATATTCTCAACATTTGAAGAGAAAATAAAAGTTTGGGATATATCCTCTCAAATACTCAAACCAAGCAAATAAAAATGGTTTTCTTAGCATCTGAACATTTAAAAATCAGTCCTATTTAAAGGTTGATGTTGGAATTTGTTAATTGTTTTTTTCTTGGAAAGAAAGAACTATATGGTCTGATTTTAATAGGGTCTGGAGGAAAATCAAGTTGGGAAAAATGGTCGACTTCTGGAATTTGGGCTGTTTGCTTCCATTTCTGGTCATTTTCATAAAAATAAAGTTCTCCAATTTGAGAATTCATATTAAAAAAAGTCCACTTAACATAAACCACAGTAAATAGAGATAATTTTATATTAAAAGACGTCTTTGAAAACAAAATGTTTTCTCCCCAAATGACCCCAGACTTTCAGAACAACTTAAATTAACTGCATAGGACCCCTGCAGTTTATAATGAAATATTCACTTTGTATTCGAATATAAACATTTGATTTAATTTCACAGAAATTTTCCCATCATTATTCCAAGTCTACCACTGGAATTAACTGCAACATCATAAAACCAAAATATTTTTTTATCTTAATCTTTAATGCAGGAAAGGAAAAAAAAAAAAAAAAAAAAAAAAAAAAAAAACAACAACAGCAAAAGCAAGCAGCAATGATTAAATAGTTTTTATTTCAGACTCATGTGCGGCGGAGTTTCTGGCCAAACCGGCGCTCACCGTGTGCCGCCCGCCTCTGGTCTGCAAGTGTGCCGATTTCCAGGAGCTGTTTGCGCTGCTCCTCATCTAGGGTTTGCGTTAGTGCCTGGTACCATGCCGGGTCGCGGGTCTGGATATCTGCATAGGAAAGGATGAGATCATCGGATGAGCCAGTCACGCCACTTCCTCTGATTAAAGCCGTCCCTTCCCCCATCGACAGGTGAACCCCTTACTCTGTAGTATGGCTTTAAAGATCTGATACTCGTCCACTAGGTTATCTTCATCATCTACAGCAGTAGTGTAGCCCTCCAGTGCCGTCTCCTCAGCGTCATCCTCTTCCCAGTCTTCGTCGTCTCCATCCTCTCCTGCGTGCTTCGCCAGCATCTCCAGATACTCCTGGCCCTCTTCATCGATGTCGTCTTCGTCACTCCCCAACTCCGCTTTAAAAATAAAAAAAACACTCACTTAGACCAAATTATAATGAAGGGAAAACCTGATTAAAGCAACAGATGGGGAAAAACAAAAACTCACCAGTTTCATCCTCCTCCTCCCCATCTTCATCATCATCGTCATCATCGTTCTCGTGTTCTGCTCGACAAGCGTACGCCCTCTTGAGGCCGCTGAACAGAAGGATGGCTGCAGGAAGGAGCTGCCCGCCCACCTGGTTGACTGCTTGAGGTCTGTGATCGAGGTCAATGAGAGCACAGAGGCCAAGGATGCACATCTTCCTGTCATGGAGGCTGTTAAGTAAACAGGAACATTTCAACAGTTATTTTATCTCAACAATTTTTATGTTAAAACCACGACAATCTAAAATAAAATAAAAACGATTTTCCACAGCTGTAATCCGCAACATGAAGTTCATACCCAAGAAAGCAGTCGACATCTTTAAGCCACTGGGTTATGAAGTGGTTGGTGATTGGCTCAGTGCTGTTGGGAAAGCGCAGATTCTCCAGCGTGTTGAGGAGGAGAGGGGGGCTGTAATAGAGAGCAGCGATGGCCACCTGCAGGCACATGGTCCTCAGCTCGCTGGTCTTTACCTCCCTTGTCAGACGCTCCAGCGCTGTGCCAACAAACAGGGGCACGACCTGCAAGCAGGACATCCTAGTGTTTAAACAACAACCCGTATGCTGGACCTTAACATTAGCATCATGGCAGGTTACTTTGATTCGAGCCTGACCTGGTCGATGCCTCGGCCTTTGCACTGCAGAATGATCACCTCCAGCATCTTGGCTGCATGGCACTCTGGATCTTCACCTGGGTCACCGGTCAGAATCTGGACATTCACACAAAGGGATGCATTTTTCTTTGTCATCAGACAAGATGTAGTTTATGTACATATAAAACAAAAAAGTCACATTGTGTAAACATAGACCAGATTTTGGCTAAAATGCTTAGGGCAAAGCAAAAGCTTATGAATGCCTTCCTTCTTACAACAAAATTAAGCTACAATTACAGTGGTGATTTAATCAATTCAAGAAGCAAACAAAATGTTGTGTACAGCTCCTTTTTTTTTTTACTCAGAGGATGGAAATTACTTAAACTCTGAATTAGCAGTTTTCTACATCCAACTCTGGCAACTGAAATTCATCAAATTTGAATTTAAAATGTATACCATTTACTTTCTGGAATAGAAAAGAACTTCTGAATAAAATCTAGTGGTGATTTACTTTATGCTTTGTATGTTAATTTCATGAATCTCTAATATAAAAGGTCTTCAAATGCCTTAATATAGTGATTTAAAAATAATTCTCAGTAAATAATTAGAGATAGAATCCAATGCACTTTACATAGAACTGTTATTTCATTTTGCTGCTTTTTGTTGATTATGTTATAAATTAGATTCATATCTGTTCATTTTGTTTAATATATTTTTTTAAACAATATTTACGTCAAGGCTAAAGCCTTCACTCACATAGTGAGATTTATGGTCATCAGATAGGATATCAGCCAATATGCTTAGCTCATGTAACAGATTGGGGGGAAAAAAAAACAGATCAGTGGATCTCTACAAAATCCTGCTTTATTTATAAAGAGTTTGGATCTTTTGTGTTGCAACACAATCTTTTCTATTTTAATCTCTCTAAGTTGTTCCCCTTAGTCCCCATAGTATGCTAAATGCAGCTGTATCAGAGAGTAATGCGTTAAACACAAACCTTTAGAATTCAACATGATGTTTTATGTGCAATTGCCATTACTTATTTTATTTCCTTTTAAATATACATTAACAGTTACTACCCCTCAAATTTATTATCCCCAGCTCTTTCAATTTTAACATTATAAGTCTTTAGCTTTGTTTTTTTTCTTTTTGCTTTCCAAATACCATACATTTTGTATAATAATCTTGTATTAGAGGACAAAAAAACTTTAGTAAAATAAAAAAAAAAAAAAAAATTGACCTCCATTCCCCACAGGTAAAATCTAATATCAGGACTTCTGCACACCAACACCCCAAACCAATCAGAATTGATTGAGGCCAATATAACCCCAACACACCCTGATTAAAGGTCAACACCAAATGAAGGGAAATGAACAGTTACCTTTTTGCACATGCTATAGATAATCTCCAGGTATTTTGTGTCTGACAAGAGGGTGTCTGTATCCACTGTGACGTAGTTATGAAGGAGAGGCATCATATCTTTAAAAGAAAACAAACATTGCTGGTTACCTGAAATGCATTTACTGCCGATTTAACTGCTTGCTTAACCAACTTCTAAAGTAAACAATTTCTTCCATGTTTTTACCTGTGAAATAGTCAAAGCCATCTTGCTGGAAGACTTCGTACACAAGTGGTAGAAGCTGCCACATCTGTGGTGACACCTGTTGACAGGTCAGGCTGTGGGCCAGTGACAGGATCTCCTCGTAAAATTCTGGAAGAAGCATAAATTATGGTATCTTTTAAGCTGGCAGAGTTATTATTATATAATTTCGGGGTTAATCTCTTCTGCTTACCCAACACGTGCTGCTGCAGGACGGTTCCGATCACCTGCAGACAGATTCCCTCCAGCTGCTGGGTGATCTGCAACACAAGTAAAAAGGCCGCAGAGTTTAATACTTAAGTACCAGAGTTAAACTAGTATTTAATTGACTGCAATATATGATGCATTTAAGCATCGGCTTTAGAAATTATTTAAGACGATCTCATAATGATAAAAGTTTAGTAAAGCAAGGAGGATCCGTCCTAAATGATACGCAAACAACAACGGAAGGTTAAGTGGAAGGAAAAAAGATGCAATAGACATAACCCACAGTCTAGCATAGAATCTAAAGCAAACTAGTCTTAAAGCTCAGGGAAGATCATCAATGGTCCAACTGAGACTAAACATCAATAATGTGACAGTTGTTGGCCATGTGGGGATACATCCATCTGAGATCGATCCTGAGGCACTAATTGACGTGATGCCGACTGCAAGATTACACAACCCACATGGAAATGCAGGCCATTTTGAACAGAACTCAGACGTGATTGTTTACCAGAAACACTGAAACGTAGAGGCTTTTTGGCTCATCAACAAAACTTATAGCAAAGATCAGCAGCACTTTAAACCTACATTAGGTGACTCAAATTATTTTAAAGCAATACCCGACAAATCCACATCAGAACCAAACAGTTGTTTTAGCTTAGAGTAAGAGTTCTGTCGGACATCTGGTAGGTACCAAATCAGGTGAGTGAAATTAGAACCAACAGTGAAAAACGGAAGAATGTTTTTAATCAGATTTAATCAGGCTGTGTGTTGATATTAGCAGCCAATGCTTGTAAAATTAAGCTTCTGCCTGAAACTATGAGGGGTGGGCATTCATCCTAACGTTTATACTATTGGAACTTTAATTAATCATTCAAGCAATATGTTAGAATAACTGATGATTAAAAACTTTTTTCATGTTGGGCTACAAGTTTGAACAATATGATTAAATATTGTCACTATTTGATGTTTAATAATACAAAAACACACTTCTGTCCTGTAGAAGCTGAATTTAAATGTTCATATTCTTCAAGAGTATTATTTGTGATTGTGGGGCTA